TAAGGTGTGAGCTACCTGAGTGGGTGTATCCAGGGTGACGATCCAGGATAGAGAGTGAGAGGGAGTGAGGCAGAGCGAGGCAAGTAAGAGAGGGAAGCGAGGCGAGAGAGAGAGAGAGAGTGAGAGAAAAGCCATGACCGCCATCTGTTTGAGTTCCACTGTTCGTGTGTGTGAGGCAGAGCCGCTGGAGACAAACATTCTTGTATAATGATAATGATAATGGAGACGACATCTTCAAGTGCTGATTGTACCGTGATTTGGCTTCTCACGTGTGAACTCTCTTGTGAATGTTCATTGATGTATGTGAAGTTGAACGTGACGAGTACTGAGAGAAGGTTAACAACAGTCGTATTTGTGAAGTTGAACGTGACGAGTACTGAGAGAAGGTTAACAATAGTCGTATTTTTCATCACCACTTCACGACACCCTTCACCACTTCAAGATGAAGCCTGCCTTAACAGGTGGTTTTCAGGGTCTTCGGACCTTTCACCACTTCGGGACACCCTTCACCACTTCAGGATGCTACCTGCCTAAACAGGTGGTTTTCAGGGTCTTCGGACCTTTCACCACTTCAGGACCATTCAGGATTTTCAGACTGCCCAAAACTCTCACTTCACCACTTCAGGATGCAGCCTGCCTAAACAGGTGGTTTTCAGGGTCTTCGGACCTTACACCACTTCAGGACCATTCAGGATTTTCAGACTGCCCAAAACTCTCACTTCAGAATTTTTGTTCCTGAATTTTCAGCTACCCGTTAACCGCTTGTGGAGTTGCGCAGCTCCCTATGTACTTCTTCTTTTATTTTCAGATTTGAAAAAAAAAGGGAAAAAAAGGGTGCGAGGGTCGAAAAATCTTTGCCTTGGGTTAGACCCTCACGCTGGTAGTTGTGTGTACCTCTACAGTGACAGGAATTGCTGCTAACTGGTTGGGCAGCATCACGAGGCTGCAATTATGGGTGTTCTTTTCTTGCTTGGGTTGCCAACTAATGTTTTAAACCATTTGTCGAACCTAAACTTTTCATAGACCCTGGCTTGCATAGTGTTTTCACTCCAATAAAGGGGCCACTCCTTATTGCTATGTTTGGACTGAAAGTGGACCCAAGCACGGCTATAATGACCGGACCCCTGAGCCTCTTTTTGCGGAGGCTGATTCCCCCGGCATCCAAAAGAAAACTAATCACCAAGGTGGCATTTCTTGGCATTTCTTGTGACTGGCCGCCAGCGGTTCTGATCCAGTAGTCTTGTTCGTTGGAAGTCTCTGGAATTTTGTGTTTCCTATACTTGACTTTGCCTGGGAAAGGCCGTGGCGGTTTGATGGAAATGAGCATCGAAGTCACTTAAGTTGGGGCACTTGAAATTTTGTGAACCCGCTTGGGTCCGGTAGCGCCGAGGGCTTGACTTCGCCTGGGAAAGGCCGTGGCGGTTTGATGGAAATGAGCATTGAAGTCGCTTAAGTTGGGGCACTTGAAATCTTGTGCCGTCCCCGGTAACCCGCTTGGGTCCGGTAGCGCTGAGGGCTTGCGTGATGGCTTGGATGAATTTGGGGGGACTGGGCAGGACATTGAGCGGTACTGTTGTATGTGTGGGAGCTTCCACAATGGTTTCCAACTTTCCACAAGTTTTTTATTTTGGGGGGGCGGCGCAGGGTGCCTTGTATGCATGGGGAAAGGGGGGAGAATTCCCAAGGGTGTTTGCACAGTGTTTTACGTATACTACAGGGTGTTGCAAGATGCTTTGCCCAGGGCAAGGGTTGGGGGTCGCGGATTGCTGAAGGGGTACGGGTTTGTGTGATGTTCTGATGTTGTATGTTCGGCTGAACCAACCGAATTGGGGTAAAGGACGACTTTGTTGAGGGGCCTTAGAAGAGTATTTAGAGATCGAAGGGCATTGTTGAGGTGCGTAATGGTATGCTTTGCACTCATGGAGGGCAGGAGGATGTGTGAAAGGAGCTTGCAAACTGGGTGCAGGAGAGGGGGGGGGGGTGAGTATGCCTCCTGCAGAGACAGACACCATCCACCCACCCAAATACTCAGAGAGAGAGCGAGAGAGAGAGCGAGAGAGAGAGAGAGCATTTGTAATATAAGAGAATCAGGAAGCGAGGAAAATATCAGAAATGCTAATGAATCGCAGTATATGGGATAACCTTTGAAAAATGCTTTGCAACTGTACCCTTCAAATGAAAGAAAACCTTGCCTGTACCCCAATGCCGTTTTGGACTGCAAGTTTGCAAAACAAAATTATTGAGAAGTCATATGCATGCCTACCGGATCTACTGCAGCTAGATTTCTATTGGTTGCCTGCCTACTTGAATCTGAAAGTGATTTTTTCACTGCACAACAAACCGTGATTTCACTCAGGTAATCACTTCCGGCATACTGCAGCATTATGTAGTCATTTACAATCACAATCACACTCGTCTGAATGATTGAGAGGATATGCCGTCATCCTCAACTGCATGGTTGAGGCAATAAGATATAGCAAGAAGATGAGACTTTTATGCGAACTTTAAACCATACCTGCGGCGCATCGTGTGCGTGTGAGCTCCGCACGTGTGGTGCATAGCGCACGCACAAGCATGCGCACGCACGTGATGCGGCGCACCCCAATAAATAGGTTTTAAAAAACAATTCGAGGAGGGCTGGCTGACGTAGCCAATGGTGCACCTCCCTTCTAAAAAATCGAAGGGCACAGAAAAAAAATTGGGGCCACGTGTTCCTTGTTGAAAATAGTCTTTTTCCCGAAGTACCCCAGCAGTGCATCTGCAATGGCCCCAACATCTCAAGAGACGTTCAGCGAATTTCGTGTGAGAATGGAGCAGGCCAGCAATATATGTTCTGGATCCAGAGTCAGGTCTGCTTTCCAGCAGTTTTGGGTTACAAGTTACAACTAATTACTACCGTAGCTCTGTCTTTCTTTTGTTTCGTTTTCCTACAAGCAGTGGCCCTAAGGGCCTTGCTCCACTCATCACCACTTTCACAAAAGACAAAAAATATGGCGGCGTATGGTTCCATGTTCTAGCAGAAGATTCATTCATATCTCTTTTGTTTCGTTTTCATACGAGCAGTGGCCCTAAGGGCTGAAACGGTTTTCACCTTTCTGCAGTCACAGATGCGGGCCCTAGATTTCCATCCCCAGACTTCACTTTGCCCATGCACAGTAGTGAGTCGACACCGAGTGTTTGAACCCGTGACCTGTGTTTTGGAAGTTGTTTGTCGCCTGTCGTAGGTCTGTGTAGTGGTGGGGGTTCAATCTGTAGGTCTGTTGAGTAGGAGTCCCAGCTTTGTAGAGGTCATAGCTGTAGGTATTCTGAAAGGTCAAGGTYGTAGCTGCTACAGTCCTGAAAGGTCAAGGTCGTAGCTGCTACAGTACCCGAAAGGCCRAGTCCACAGACTTCMGGAAGGTCCGGAAGTGGCCTTTCGAAGTGTCTCACGTTAGTAAGACGCAAGTGGGCAAGTGGTGAGCCCAACCGCACTACGTCGGCAGTGCGACTGCATCGAGTTGGCAGTGCAAACCCATGCAGTCGGTGGTACCAGTCCCAGTCAGTCAGAGTCCAGTCAAGCAAGTAACGTGAGGGACTGTGTAAACCAAGGGCCTGGGAAAGGGGCAGACCAACGAGTTACAGAAGTATAAATCAAGAGGCAGCGCCCAGCCATTCATTCATTCGCTGCAAAGCGCTGCTACAGTGTCTTGTGCGAAGGTGGTCTGCAGGTTGCCCGGAGACGAAGTGGGCTGAAGGGAGATCGTAGCCATAGTCAGTAGTGGTAGTGCGGCCATAGCCGCTGTAGGAGGAAGTGAGATCAAGCGTGTGTGTGTGTGTGGTGGTATTCAGGGTGATCCAGAGTGAGCGTGTGTGTACAGTGGGGTTGGACACAGTGACAAAGGTTGGCATGTTCAGGCGCCGATGCGCCATAGCTGGTTGAAGAGAACTTGCATCTGAACTGTGTCTTTGATTTCCATATCTCTAAGCTTTGAGTGGGCGCCCTGCGCCAGTGTGAATCTCCATCTGTTTGCATGTATGTGAAGTGGAAGTGAAAAGCGAGTCTGATTGCAGGGCCTTGCTCCACTCGTCACCACTTGCACAAAAGACAAAACATATGGCGCGCATGCGCGCGTGTATACACACATCAGGGCCACTTTTTTTTTTTTTTTGGCGCATTAGTGCACCGCACCTCACATATGCGCCGCAAGTATGGTTTTCATAGGATGTGCAGGTGTTTTATTTACGGGATGACTATAGGTCTGTCCCTGAGGGATTGATGAGGGTGATGCACACCTCTATGGTTTGGTTTACACGTGGAAGGACATCGCTCTGTCGGTGTTTCTCTCTGTCAATCCACTGGCCTTATAATACCCTACGTAGTCCTGCTCAACCTTGAAATGGCCGGGAAGCCTTCACTTGCAGTGGAAGGGAAAACAAAACAGAAAAGCAGGAAAGGGGCAAAAAATAGTTTCAGTCACAGATTCCCCTTTTCTCTTCTCTGTCCCTCCTTTTCTGGTGGTTTCAAGTGTTGTGCATGTCCTCGCCGTCGATGGCTACTTGATAGTCTGTAGTCATGGTCTCATCGCTTTGGTGAACGACTTGAGCCCCGATCCATTTTTGGCGCAACGAAGCTGGAACACTGTACGTGCAGGTGTGAACTAGTGCGTGAAATTCATGCATGCATGGATGGTTGCTTGGTGACACCTTGTGACTTTGTGCTGCCCTTATCTATAACCTCCCCCTCCACCTCCCCCTCCCCCTCCCCCTGCCCTCCCCCCACCCTTTCTGTAGTAGCTATCTGATTATTCACTCCTGTTGTCTGTTCTGTATTTCGTTCTATTATTGTTTGGTTTTCGAAAAGGTGTGAGCCGGCAATGCTACATGATCTGTTTATCAACGGCTGCATGTATTCGGTTACACGTCTGGGTACCCTTGTCTTATACTTCAGCCAATCCAACATGCGCTCAGTGGTTCTAGCTACGTTTGGTTTGGTCCTTGTATGTTTGTGTGTCAATGCACAGAGGTGATCACATCGGCGGAATTTCACCCAGGACATTGCAATGTCCTTGCTTACAGTAGCTCAAAGGGAACGATCAGGCTCATTGACTTACGGCAGTCAGCCCTTTGCGATAGGCACGCAAAGCTGTAAGTGCTATGTTATTTAATCCGGAAAAGCATAAACTGTACTCTTCTATTGAACAAGTTCTTTCCTCTGTGTGCGACATGCACCTGTCTCAGGCTTCTTTTTTTTCTTAAATGGATGCAGGGCCTAATTTAGACCTGTCTGAGCTGTCTCACTGTTCTACCTCTTTTACTGTCCCGATTTGATTCACAAGGTTCAAGGATGAAAAATGACATTCGACAATGATGAAAAATGACATACTGCTTTTCTAGGTTACAGCCTGGACAGCCCAAACCCCAGGGCTCCACGGGAATCCCAGCCTGGAGAGACCCGGCAAAGTGATGGGCAGTCCCAGCATTATAAAAAAAAGGTTTAAACCACCACTACCTCCGAACCTGTTTTTGCCGACCCTGATTTTCACTGCGCACCGAGTTTGTCCGAGCCGGGGCTGAAGAGAAAAAAATTCAAAAAAGGAAAAAAAAAGACTACCTGAACGGCTTGATTACCACCAGATGCATTCTATGAGGTGCTTGTGTGACTGTGCCCTCAGTGGGGGCGTGCACGGGAAAAAACACAGAGAAGCAATGGAAAAAAAAAAGGAATCCCTTATCCCGTGATTGGGGCCGAATACATGATGCTACAGCAGTCAGACAGTTACGTGCGACCCGTGAAACACGCCCTGCCTGGCTGGCAGGGCACTACAAGGAATTCAGTAAAAGAAAGAAACAGAAAAACGAACTGCAATCCCTTGTCCGACATTGTGGCCAGATGCATTCGTCAAAGCACTGGTATAACTTCCACCCTCGTGAGGCCCTTCCCCGACATCCCTGGAGTGGAGACTCTTTGTTTTCTTTTGTTTTCTTTCGTTTTCTTTCTTTTTTTTTTTCTTTTTTTTTTCCGTCGGCCTCCATCCCTGCCCCGAGCCCCATGTTTTCAGGAGTAGGCTACTAGATGGACTTTGCGTTTGCCTGTGAAAGGTAGTGGTGGTTTAAAAAACAAAAATTCAAAAAATGTTTTGGACTCCCGGAAAAAATAACTATGTTTTGTAAAACGATAGTACAAGCCACTTTTGGTTAGCAGTCAGCTCCACGTGTCTTTTTTTAAGGATAAAAAGTAGAACAGAAAACGAATTCCGTATGCACCCCTTTGAAACCCTCTAAAATTCTAAATCCATTTGAATCCCCCCCCCCCCCAACTTGACCTCAAAAATTTCGAGGAAAAGGTGAATTTGGCATGTTGTGAAGTGCATTCACACAGTGTAATCAGAGAAAGAATAAACAGAATCCTTGGGCTCTTTCCGGACTGGGTGAACCTCCCCTCCTGCCTGGCCGAGTGGCCCAGCTTGCTTCAAAGTTTCTTTCCTTTTTGTTTCGGGGATTCGAGCTACTGCGGTACGCAATCATTCTGTCCCCTCTCCATTTAAAACCCCTCACGACCTGCGCGGGGCACGGGAAAAGCAGCCCGCCTTCCCCCCCCGACCCAAAATAAGGGTTGCGGATCTGCATTCTGCATTTCCTGCACCCCCTTCTAAGAATCATTTGCTCTCCAAAAACAATTTATGCTGGACCACACTCAAATGGGCTGGGCCGGGGAACTGCCTTTTCGTGTTGCTGCCGTGCTGCAGCCGCCCCTGGGTTCGATACTTTACATTCGATGCCCCTGGAGCCTCCTTTGCGGTGTTTTGTTGTGACCGCTGTACCCACAGAACCCGCTGTGGAGCGCCAAGGCCCGAGCCATCGCCTCCAGCACTCCCCACCAACCTAATCCTCTCCTCCCCTCAACGCCGACTTACCTCTTCCTCCTCCTCCTCCACCTCCTCTTCTCCCTCTAGTCCTTGTCTCCCTCTTTTCCACTGTGCCTTGTACTCTTCCCCCATTCCTCTTCTTGGACTTCTCATCCCCCTCATCTCGTCACCTCCTCCTCTTTACAAGTCACTTCCTCCTAGCCCCTCCTCGTCGCCTTTAGTGATCCAATGTTGGTGGCATGAGGAGAGTTTCTCTCGTACTGTTGCTCAGTGCTTGTTGGGAACAAAGGAGAGGAAAACCTGTAGGAAACTGCTGTGAGGAGAGGTTCTCTCGTACTGTTGCTCAGTGCTTGATGGGAACTAAGAAGAGGAAAACCTGTAGGAAACTGCCACATGGCACACACCCGATTGTCATGTACTTCATGCGAGGGATAGGCTGAGTAGAGAGAGAGATGGTTGAGCAACGCCATAACAGAGATGGTGAAGGGTAAAACGGAGAGAGAAGATACACGATTTGTGGGTGCACCATGAGAACTGTGAACGTAAAAGCCCTGACTTGATGAGCAGAGCAACAGTTA